TTAGATATAAACAAGTTCTTTTAAATAGTAATTCTCAATTATTATGTCTAATTAGTTATTACATAGTTTTGATTATTCAAAAAAATAAAGTTTGCACTTTATATAAAGTATATAGTCAAGTGCAAATTTCTCTCTATCTCCTTTTGACAAAGTATTTATTTTCTTGTGTAGTAGCTTTAGCATATCATTATAAGAAGTTATATAGATTTTGAATCAATATATTATAATAACTTAAGCATGTTGTCAAGAGCACTATAAAAGTTATCATTTTTATTCTAGACTCTTTGAACATATTGTGATGAAATCTATTGAAAATTATATTAAATAAAGAAATTATTTTTATAAATCTGTTTTTGAAATTGTATTGCTAATAATACATTGCTCATAAAACTTATCTTTAATTTTGTATTGCTAATAATATATTGTTCATATACTTATCTTCAATCTTGTATTACTGATAATATGAATATTATAATCTTTATAACTTTGACTTTGAGATTTTGAGAACTCTTTTTAGCAGTTCAGTTATTATGTTAAAAGAACATAACTATTACTAATTTTTAAGTGATTCTTATAAGTACTTATCATATTTTAACTTATATTCAGTTTAAAGTCATAAAGTATTATTAAAACTGTAAATTATCATTAAGATATTTGAGTTTTCTTTTTGAATATCATAAATACTCTTGAATATTTCAAAGTCTCATTAAAATGATAACAATATATTTATATATTTTAATTTTTATTTTAATTATAATTACTTAATTAATAATTATTTTAAGAACAAAACTCAAATTACTATTTTGCTTGCAACTAATATATCTGAAACAGATAAACTTAAATCTCTTATTATTGGTAAATCTTTAAAATTATGCACATTTTCTGGAATTAATATTTTAACTCTCTCTATAATATATAAAGCAAATTCTAAAATCTGAATGAGAAATAATATTTTTAATAATTGGTTACAATATCTTGATATTGATTTTTGAATTCAACAATAACATATAATAATGCTTGTAGATAATGCACCTAGTCACAAATTTATCAAATTAATCAATCATAAAAATGAAAATGAAAAATCAGATTCAGAATTTTCTGAGACTGAATTTATTTTGTCACAAAATTCATCTAATAATAAGAATGAAAATGAAGATAATAATAATAATTATAATAATAATTATCAAATATTTAAGTTGATCAATATTTATCTTATCTATTTATTATCAATATTATGATATATTTTCAACCAATAGATGTAAAAATTATAAATAATTTTAAGATATAAATAAAATTTTTATATATATATTTATTTATTTATTTAAATTATTTATTTTTTAATAGATTAAATACAAATAATTTTATATTTAACATTTAATTAATCAATTTGAACATGAAATTATATTAAAAAGTAAGTTATTATTAATTTATATATATAATATAATATAATATAGTTAATTAATTAATTATTATTAGAAATAAATTAAATATAAAAAAAATAATTGATTATATTAATGAAATATGAAATAAAGTAGAATCAATAACTATTGTTAATTGTTAAAAATTTTATCAATATTTTATCAATAACATCACTATCAAATATAATATTATCAACTACAAAAATATAGGTAGCTTTTTATTATAATTATCAACTTATTATAGGTTAATTAATTACTAAAATTTCCAAATTATTATTAATATTAATAATTATATTCAAAAATTATATTAATAATAAAACACTAATTATTACTAAAAGTTTTCTAATTGAAAATGAAATTATTGAAATAATTCAAAAATCAAATAACTTTAAAGATAATGAAAGTGATAATGAAATATCACCAATATTAATTATTTATCCAAACAAGTATTAGATTATTTCTTAATTTTTGTAAATAATAATCTAATAATGATAAAGAAATTAACAAAGATAATTTGATAATATTTTAAAAATATATATCTATTATAAAACAAAAATATGAAACAAAAATCAATTGATACTTTTTTTACATCATTTTCATCTTTATAAATAGTTATATTAATTTTTAATTATTAATTATGCTTTAATTATATATTTATTTAAATATTAATTACATTAAACATGTTTTTAATTATATAATTATATTTTTAATTATGTTATATTAATTAAATAATAAATAAATATAATTATTATATAATATTAATATTTATATTAATAATTTATATAGATTATTTTGTATAATAATAAGAAAAAATTAATATTTTTCTATTTTTTTCAAAAACTAATACAAAAATAAGTCTAAAAATAAAACAAATTATATATGAACTTTATTTTTAATTAGTATCACAAAGCCTATTATTTTGATCATTTTTGACTTTACTTATAAAAAGTTTGAAATTTTTTATATTTCTATTAGAAAAAATTTTTTAATTTTAAAAATTAATTAATAAAAATTATATAATATTTTGAGTTATTAAAAAATATATAAGTTTATTAATAATTATTTATTTGTAAAAAATCTAATTTTACATATAAATATTATTTATATTTTAAGTTTTATTTAGAAAATTTTTTTCAATTTAGAAAATTAATTAATAAAAACTTAGTATATGTTTATATTATTAAGAAATAATTAATCATTTTTATTAAATTATTATTTATTTATTTATAAAATTTTGTTATAATTAAATTATAATAATTTTAATCAAAATTATTATAATTTTGATCAGAATTATCATAATATTAATTAGCATAAAATCTCTTTATAGTCATATCTCTCTATATTTATTCAATTTAGCTTTTCCAATAATGATAATTATAGAGAGATTTAACTATATTTTGAAAAAAAAGTTAAATACAAATTACTAATAAAACTCAATAATTATTTATATTAATCCTTTTTTTGTAATTATTAATAACTTTGACTTTTAAGATTTAAAATAAAAAGTTAAATAATCTTTAAATACTCATTAAAAAAGAATTTGCAAATTCAAAAAAATGTGAATGCTATAATTGCAATTGGTGAATTATTTTTATTGATTTTACTAGATTCTTTTTTCCAATTTAAGTACTAATTTTTAAAATTTTTGATATTAGATTTTGAAAGAAAATAATTAAATTATAAGAGTTATATATTATATTAATCAAGAAATCATTAAATAACTTCAGATTTTTGCTCACTAAAAAAATTTGTAATTGAAGAGTTTTTTTTATTGACTCAAGTTATTCTTTTTTCAACTTAAGTACTAATATTTAATATCAGACTTTAGAAGAAAATGAATTATAAAAGTTATCTAATAAGATAGTATATACATTAATAATTTATATAATTAATTATATTTGATATTATATTATAAATATTAAATCTATTTAGTCAATTATATTATAATAATTCTAAAATTATATAATATATGACAAAATAAAATATAATAAGATGCAACAAATAAATTTATTTATAATATTATACTAAAAATAGATAATATATATTATTTGATTAAGCAATTAAAATAAGCTCAGAAATTTTTTTATATTTCAAATATAACAAGATAAATATAATTATTTTTTAATTTTTAATTTATTAACAAATAAAATAATATTAATTTCTTTTATTAATTTTAATAAATATAAGTTTGCAGTTAAAATAATATAAAATAATTTTACAATTAAAACAAAAAATTATTAGTTTATAAAACAATTATCAAAAAAAAAATATCACTAAATTTATAAACTTTAATTTTTAATAAAATAAAAATTAAATTGAAATTCAAATTGAAATTCAAATTGAAATTCAAATTCAAATTGAAATTCTAGAAATTCTAAAAATAGTTAAAATAGTTAAAGCTCTGTTCGAGTCGGGTCGGGTTTGAGATCGAATCGAATCGATAATTTCGGGTCGGATCGAATTCGAATCGGGTTTGATTCAAAAATCGTAAAATAATGTTTCGTTAATAACTTTTATTTTTACTGATACTTGTATTTTGTGTCTATGTAGAGTTGTTTGGAATGTAATTGTGTATATATTTACAAATTTTTGTTTAATTCCAATTAATATTGAACGAAAAATAACGTTTTTTAGGCTGATCCGAAATATTTCGGGTCGGGTTTGATCCCAATCCGACCCGACCCGAAATGTGCGTTCCGGGTCGAATCACGGATTGGACCCGATCCTGTTGGAGCACTAAAAATAGTTTAACCAATAATATAAAATATATAGAAAATATTGATTCATAACAATATAATTAGCATTTTATGCAGAGCAAATGCTTATTTTGAAAAAAGCTTGTATATATCTTGATGAAACTATCTTTTGTGTTCTAACAAAAAATGTTCCTTTTTTATCTCTAATCAACCTTAACCCTAATCATCTAATTAATATTTCATATCTTGCGATTTGGTCACAGGAATAATTTTTATCATCTAACAAAAATGTATTTTCCTCGAACTAATCTTAATTTTTATGTTAATATTAGCATTTTCTCAGTTACGAGGTTATGATTTAAGTTATAGTTACGAGATTTATATATATCTTTTAATATTGATATGCAGTATATTCTTAATTTGCATTGTCGATAGTTTTTTATTTATGTTCAGATGGATTCACGTGAATATCTTTATAAGGTTCTTAGAATTTCTTATCATTTACGTTAGTAGTAAAATTATATAAAAACGACAACTTTAAAACTGAATAATTCCCATGTAGCTTGAAAAAAGATGTTGCCTATCGTAGAAGATCCAGGATTAATTATGCTATAGCAATTATATGAAATAAAGTGTCAGTATAGTCTTTGACTATTCATAAGAATCATTTACAAATTTTGGGTAGAACAAATAATCAACTAGAATTCGTCTCGAAACATGAGTTGGAATTGGTCACTTTTCGCCCTATCAGTACATAGAAATTAGTGAATTCTATTAAATTAAATTACAATCAAAATTTCAAACAAGATTCTAGCCAGCATGAATGAGTCTTCATTTTATTAATTAAAAGCTGGCAGATAAAAAACTAATATTAATAATTTTTTTATTAAAGAGGGATTTCTTTAGGCTTCCATGCATCTTCCACCTCCATATCTTCTTCGTCCATTATTTCACCCTCTTCGGGTTCTTCTTCCTCATGGCCATTAACTTGACCGTTAGTACTGGTAGTAGTAGCAGTATTATTTACTTGTGGTTGCACCTGATTCGGAGTTATTGGATGGCGAGAGGACTGCTCAGTTGCATGCGAATTATTATATGGATTTTGTGTACCATTTACTTGAGATGATTGCACCGATGACGCAGGATAAGTATTTGATCGTTGAATTGATGGAGATGAGTGGATCGGTGGTAATTGTACCGGTTGATGCCGGCTATGTGAATTATTTGTAAGAGATGGTTGTAACGGAGGTAATTGATTTGCCATGGGAGACTGCACCAATATTTGATTTGTGTGTGATTGCTGTGTTAGAGGTGGTATATTATTATTTGGTCGATGTGGGTAAGTTGATGACCGCATTGGTGGTTGACGCGGCATTGATTGATATGTAACGTGTTTTTGATGTGATAAAGATTGCTGATTTGGTGGTCGAGTATTCATACGGTATGTTGTGTTTATCTCATGTGATGAAGAGGTCGAAGTATATTGATTCAGTGGACGAGGATTTATACGATATGTTTCTGTCTCATTACTTGATGAAGATGTTGAAGAGGTTTGATTTGGTGGACGAATGTTCATACGATATGTGTCTTTGTCGTATGATAAAGAAGAAACTGAAGTAGGTTGAAATGGTGGTCGAGTCTTTAATTTATCTGTTTCTAAAGAGTTTAACGAAGACTGATGTGAATGTGACTGAAATGTATTTTGATCATGTGATAAAGTTAAAATAGATGATGTTGGAGGTGGCGGTAGATTTTGTTGTGGTAATGTTGAATATGGAAAAGAGGTTTTCAATGGTAACGAATTTGATTCAATAATATGTGAAGATGATGTTGATAACGACGATGATGACTGAGCAGTATAAGATGACAAAGAATTAAGAGATTGTAATGATTCATATTTTTGATGGTGATTTAATTGAACTATTGAAGAAGGTGGTGGTGGTGCTTGTGATGACGCCATTCCCAGTGGGTGAGCTTGAGGAGGAGGAGGAGGCAGTGGATGTGTAGTTACAATCTTTGCGCAATCGAAATGAAGGGGGTTCTTGGTGCACTCACCGCCGTGTTTGCCATTCTATAAAGGAGGAAAGAAATCGATATGAGTAAACGTCTGAGCCGAGAAAGAGTGCTGAAGGTGGAGAGGTTGAAAACTATCCCACGAGTTAAGACAAGATTATTCATCGTACCCTTCTTTCTTTTATAATTTTTGGACGCGTCACGTAGTTATCTAGCATGATATCTACGGCGTCTAATAATAAAAATACAAGAGAATTGTAATAAACAAAGAAGAAGAGTAATATGATAATGATAATAATAATAAAGAATAATAAAGACTATTATCGTGTTGATATTTAAAAAGGAAGGGAATCCTTTGATTATTATTAGATTTAATTTATATTTACCAGCCACTTGAAGAATATCGGCATTAACAATTGACCACCATGTTTGTCCTTGCGAAGGATCGTCGTTCAATCGTACATTTGATAATTTGGCGGCAATGTAAATCGCCGCACTTGCTATTACATGTGGCCTATGTCGTAAACACAAAGGTGTACGCAGGCTGTTTAATACACAAAAAATTTTCCGAAGAGTCGTCATTATTATTATTATATTATAAAAGCGACAATGAGGACACAATTAATACCTGTCATTAACAATAGCCCATGCACTCTGTGCAAGCTTTTTTGCACCATCCTTTTCAGGGATGTTTTTATCATCTAATAGCAATATATACGAATTAATTAATAATCAAAAATGGAAATTTTTATAACAAATAAATTAATATTCACTCTTAAGTTCCCTAGCGTATTTTAGAAGCATCCGATATGGATGCTCGATGTGCAAGTCGAACTCTAGCGCTCCAAGAAGGAAAGGTTCGTTTTTATTGATTGTGTGTCTCCATTTAGCGAATTCCTTATGATGAAAAAACCATCATAATTTTTTTATTGTTATCACCATTATCAGGCTTTCAATCCAAGCACAATAGAACTACACTAATGAGACAAACTTACTGTTTGGTCTTCTAACGCTGAATTTTTTTGTGCTTTCTTTGCACAGATACGAGCCACGTCATCCATTTTTCGACTTGTCTCTTCTGTCTTGCAGGCCTCAAATACACAGGTTCCCGCAATATCCTAAACAGGAAATAGAACATATCCATGCAAAATTTTAATAATGAAATCAAATCTATATGCTCAGCAACTAGTATGACCGACTTACATAGTGATGAAATTTTATCAGACTTCGCCTCATATAGAATCTGTGTAAGAATGTTGCTGCAGTAGCTATCGTTATTTGTGGTCTATTAAAAGTTAAAGACTAATACTCTCTACTCATTCTCTCGATAATTTTCTCACTCGATGTATTATCAACTTCCATTCGCCCTCGCATGCCACTTCCAATACCAAATTTTCCCACAGTGACCCAAATAATTAAAAAAAGGATACAGTTTAAGATCAAAACAAACATCCTGTATAAATTTAACTCCTTTAGCACGTCGCGTCCTCTCTTCGTCTATTGACAGACCATCTTTTCGCGACGGCGTCAGGTCAAAATCCGTGCCTTTAAAATACCACTGACCTATTGCTCGTTCAGTCCACATTATTTTTTAGCGTTAACAGATTAAAAACGATTAATAGCCTAAGCTGAAGTTGTGTGTTTTCGTTAATTATTTATAGTGTGTCCCAGTGAGAGGTAAAAGAAAAAAATGGCGTCTTGTGTAGTGTGAAAATAGACTAGGATAAAGAAATATCGAAATCTCAATTATAATAATAATATTGGATCAAGTTCCAATCTTTGGTTGTTTATCCAGCTCACCCACGATCGATTTTCCATTCACGTGATTTTCTGATCCGATTTTTCCGTACCCTAAATATTCCGCGCTAATTAAAGATTAGGGTTATGGTTAGAATTGGAGTAAAACTATAAGCAAAATTGTCTTCCCGTCATTTTTTATTAGTTACAAGTTAGATTTTGACATCTATTTCCCGTATTTTTTGCATTGTTCATTTTCTTGTACGGATTTGTTTTGCCGGGTTGATCAAAAATTTGCGCATGCTCATTGGTTTCGAGATCATCAGGAATCGGAAAAATTACGTGAAGAAAAAATCGATCGTGGGTGAGCTGGGATGTTGAATGGTATCTGAATCACGTGATCCACACTTTTCGCCGTGGCTAGGGTACTAGTACCTTTTTTGTGCTACAATTTGGAAAAGATCAACAATGAAACAAGATTGATTAAACCAAGGGCTTCGAATAATAATGGCAGGAAAACGTGGAGCAATTTTTAATGTATTTGGAATACCAAAATCAAACACGAGTGATAATATTAATTTAGAAGAAAGCCTAGAGTTAGCTAACGTCTCTCTAAACGGACCTATTGATGCCAAATTTTTGGTAAGCGAGCTCCAAAACCCTTCTTCACTTCCAACACGAGTCAATCTTGTCAAACAATTATGTGGTATTGTGACGAAATATACGTTCTCTAATGTGACAGAAGTTTGGGTCCCCGTACGGGATCTATTAAGTCCTAATATGCCGCAGGACGCGCGTCGTGTTGCATTTCAGTTCATGATATCGTGTATTCAAGGACAATATAATGAACTAGGGTTATTACGTGCGATTTTTTATGATTCAATCAAAGTTCACGAAGTCCCGGAGGATTTTTCTATTAAATTTGAAGCGTTTCGTGAACTGTGTAAAGATGGCCGGGATATTTCGTCATTTGAGAAAAATATCGGGAAACTTTTGTCAGAGTGGATAAATCAGACTATTGAACAAATGGAGGAAGGTGTGGATACGTTGACAACATCTCCGTCGCCGTCCTCAAAGTTGCAGTCTATTATAAATTTGTTGATCAATGTTGTAAAATTCAATTTTACACAATTTGAAGAACACGATATTGCAAGATTTGTCAATGATATTGCGACAGTTTGTAAGCATCTAACAGACATTCAATGTTGTCAAAGTTTTTGTGATGTGGTGGTTCGATACGGATACGTGCCAATATCTTCCTTAAATATATACGTCAACCTTCTATGCACCACCATAAATCCTAAACCTGTCTTAGAAAAAAGTTGGCACATCATGCGTAATTTGTTGTTAAGTCATTGTGCGTTCAGCAGTATCAAGATTATGTGTAACAATTTGGAGAACGCTGATAATACGGAATCTCCTCATTTACTACGTGGCTCTGTGTTGTTTCTTGGACAGGCGCTTTGGGGACCGGAGGAAGTTGATAATCTCATACATACATTCACGACGGCTCTTGCGGCAATGCGCAAGGCAACCACGTACAGAATCTGTGAGGTGAATCGAGAAATTCTGGTTCAGATCGGGAATTTGGTGTTAAAGAACGAGAAAAAGATTAGTTCCTTGGAATGGGAGGTTGTTTTGGATATTTTGGAGAATACTCAATATCTTGTATTGGAAAGAGGGGATTCTATAAATGGAGAAAATCTTTTGTTAGTTGATACTACAAATATTGAAAATATTAATGAAGAAAATAATCAAAATGATGCAGCAATATCTGCGTATAGTCGATTGATATTTCTGATACAGTCATTGCACATGTCCAATTCTTTTGAAGGACCAACCTCTCGATTTATGTCACTTGTCCAAAATCTTTGTGGTTATGTATCTGAAAACACTCTATTGATGCTATTAGACTACTATGACGTAGAACACCTACTTTATCCTTCTTCGTCTGATTGGATTGTCATGTTGTCAGATGTCACGAAATCCTTTTTCAACAATACAAATTCACCCTCGAAAGTACGACAACGTGTTCTCTCTTTAGTTGTAGATGTTTATCAAGCAACTAAAGATTTTTTCCAGGATGAAATTGTAGAACAAGTTATCATACCGATGTTCTCGACTTTTCAAGAAGAACAAAATTTAATGGTTTGGCAAAGTCTCATGATATTTCTGATTGAAGTGTTGAAGGAAGTATCAGATCAATGGATTATGCCTCTTCTCCAGATATTGTTACAATGCGCTCTTTCATGTAAATGTTATTCACAAACTGATCAAAGAAATTCACATTTGGATTCATGTAAATCATTGTCAGCAACAATTGGGTTAATTGAGATTTTTCAGCATTCACTCTACGAGATGGATTATACATCACAAAAGATGAATGTTTACGCGCAACTAATGGATATCCTGGCAGATTTTACCGTTCCTTCAACATCTCGTCTTGTAATTCTACAATTGGCGTTGCGAATGCGTGTTGATTATGATCATCGTGTGTATTTTGTGCGCGATTTAGGAATTACAACTGGTGCCCATATATTGCATCGGAATTCTAATGATGGGGAAAAAGTATCTACATTAAACTCTGAAAAAAATCAAATGAACAATAGTGGCAGCAGCTCATCCAACAATGGAAAACTCGAAAGAAAACCAAGTCGGAAAAATCGTATAGAGAGAAAGTCGAGCATTAAGGATTTAGCATCGGCAATTTTGGATCGTGATCGTAAAAATATATCATCTCAGGACATTCAAGTCTCTCAGTCTACCACCATTGAGCGTAAGGAAAATAATAAAACGCATATTAAAAATAAAAACATTGATGAAGAACCAATACCTCCCATACAGCAACGTCTTTGGTGTATTCCCGATAATATTCCTTTTAAATTGACCGCTACTCGCCCTTCTCCATACGTTGTTACTTATAAATCAGTCTCAACACCGGCTGAGCAAGTTCAAGTGGAAATAATGCCTCATGATAATGAAGCAACATCCACCACGAATTCTGATAATCAGAAATATTGCATTGTATTGTCAATCCAAATGTATCTGAACGTTCTAATTGACATTCTTGCCAATGATCGAGACTGGGAAATATTTTCGTATGTTCTCTGCTATCTGCCGTTACAATTAAGCGAAAAACATGTTTTCTGTGGTGCGACAAATCAAATTCTGGCGTTGAAGCAAACTTTGTGTGACAGAATTTTGACTAATAGCCTGGTCGACAGAATTTTCCTTCCGCCGGAAATCAAAAAAGTGGACATTTATATTATAGCTTATCAGACGTTAACGGTATTAATTAGCTATCGAAGTATATTTCAAAAGAAACAAAGAGACGAGCTTGTTTTGACGTTTCATATTGGCCTGCAGAAATGGCCACATGCTGCCAAATTTTGCTTACATGCTTTGAATGTTTGTTGTTATGAGTTACCGAGGTCAATGACGAAATTGCTTGCAGATATACTGGCTAAGTTATCGCAAATTATCACGACAGCGACAATGAGTGTACATATTTTGGAATTTCTTTGTACTCTTGCGCGAATTCCTGACTTGTACATCAATTTTACTGAAGCGGATTTCAAACGCGTATTTGGTATTGCAATGCAATATATACAATATAGCAAAACGTTATCCGCTTCTTCAATGACTTCTTCAGCTACATCTCAATCTACTACATCAACCTCGTCTTCTAGTATTTCATCTGTAAATAATAATAGTTCACAGCAGGGTACAAATGCATTGGTGCAATATGAACGTATTATGGCTTATCATGTGATTTATTCTTGGTTCGTATCTATCAAACTACCCGAACGACGTAAATATGTGCCTTACATTGTAAGGAATCTTTTGCTCGGAAATGAGGCCTCGCAACAGGTCGATGAACAGACCGAAACATGTTTTGACATGCTTGTTCGGTGCTCATATGCCAATTGTGATCCGAAACCCAGCAATTCATTTATTAGTCAAATATTGTTGGAACAGGGTAAAGACAAAGTTATCTCACGTACCTGGATACAAGGAAACGCATTAATTACGATGCGTACAATGAAATCATTGGGTTGGGCAGAGATTATCATACGTCGTCCTTCGGCTACAGTGGGATTTTTGTGTAAACTTGAGAATCGAAATAGATTTGATGATAAAGATTTTGTCAGTTTACCTGCTATGCTGATGGCTCATTACGATCCGGATGCACAAGAAATTACAGTTCCTATAGTCACTGAACAATTAACACAAGATAAGGTGGAATCAAAAGAAGCAGACAATAAACCAGGAAAAAATAATGAAGATCAATCTTTTGAGAAAACAGCAACTAATATTGAAGGACTTTCTCTTCCTCAAGATATTTTAAAACCTCATTCCATCCAAGACGATAATTCCTCATCTCGAAAGAACGATAATACTTTACCAGAAATTCCAAGTACCTATAATAATGCTAATACTTGTAATGAATCACAAGAGAAATCCACTACTAACGAACCGACAATTTCAAATAAAAAACGACTTATCTTAGATGAAATATTTGCCGATCCTGCTAATTCATCCGAAAAACTTGCATATCGAAAAGATGATCCTCATGTTGACCCAAGCTTTTTGTTTTTGCAGTTTTCACCATATCCCGACATAATATCCAAGGTTGGACCTCGACCATTACCTGACGACGAAGCCACACGTCGTGCACTAGACATTTTCGATCGTACTGCCGTCGTTGATTTCCACAAAATTGGAATCGTATATGTAGCCAAAGGTCAGACCAAAGAATCAGAAATACTGGCTAATATCCATGGATCACCTGAATACATCAAATTCCTGAATAATTTGGGAGAATTGATTAGACTCAAAGATAACAAAGATGTCTATACAGGTGGTTTAGATACTCAGACGGATTCGGACGGGGAATACTCATATTACTGGAAAGATGATATAGTTCAAGTGATATTTCATTGTACCACTCTGATGCCCACAAATTTATCCACCGATCCACAATGCAACGGCAAAAAAAGACACATTGGAAATGATTTCGTGCGAATTATTTATAATGATTCTGAGAAAGAGTACGCGTTTGACACTATTCCTGGGCAATTCAATTTCATTAATATTGTGATCTCGCCACTTTCCTACGACCCTTTTCTTCGACAACAGTCATCATCACCCTTTACGAATGGTGCTGGTAGCGAGATAAATAATTTGGAAATCAACACCTTTTTCAAAGTACAGATGCAATGTCTTGCTGATATGCCTGAAACCAGCTCAATCACCGAATTCAAAATTGTATCACTGACTGCGTTACCGGCATTCGTTCGAAATATTGCGTTACATGCAAATATATTTGCGCAAGTGTTTTTGCAGAGTGGTGGTAAACGCGGGTCGGAATATGTTTCTAATTGGCGGGAACGGCTACGACAGATCAAAAGAATAAAAGAGCGTCTTTTGAATAGTAGTACCAGTCAAATGGTGCTTCCCAATACTACACAGGCACCTGTCTCATCGATGCAAAGTAATGTTCATACTTCTGTTGGCTATACAAATATTTCATCAACACCAAATCCTACTGGTAGCATTGGTGGTGGTCTTCCTAATATTGCTGCTTTGACAATCTCTAGTTCTGCAGAAGAGCATCAATTCCAGACGCATAGCAGCAGCGTGCTTGGACTAGAACCTATTATAGATTTCACGAGATATACATAGAACATTGCATTAAAATATAAAATGTTAGATATATTTATTGGCTTAATTTTTTGTATAAATTAATTTATGTATTAGGTGCGAACAACACATTTTATTTTTCCATTTTAAATCTTTTAGAAGTAATTATTTCCGATACAAATTTTATAAAAAAATATCTTCAGAGATAAAAAAATGTATATAACGATAATTATTAGATCAGCGATAATTTTCTGGCAAATATTTCAATTAAAAAATCTGCAAATTGCAGTATTTGTATATAAAGTTATTATATGTCTTGTAATAAACTTTCCTTATTAATCTAATGTTTAAATCGTATAATTTTTCTTGTAATAAACAAAAAAACTTGAAATTGTTTTATATAAATTTTAAAGAATCAATTTAATTGTAATAACTTCAATATTAACTAATCACATAGCTATGGTGCATAACACCTAAAGTCATCAAACGTTTGTATTTTATAAAATGGATAAACTTCTTTAATAAGAAGTAAATACAAAATTTAATCCGTGAATATGA